GTGTAGCTAGCTGCTAAAGATAGTAAGGCTGTTTGAACACAGTGTAGCTAGCTGCTAAAGATAGTAAGGCTGTTTGAACACAGTGTAGCTAGCTGCTAAAGATAGTAAGGCTGTTTGAACACAGTGTAGCTAGCTGCTAAGGCTAAGAGGTGTAGATCTGCAGCTCAATCTGTAGCTAAATCTAAAATGATCCAAACAGATCTAAAGTAAAAAGGATCAGGCTGGTTTTTAAAGCTAACAGTAGCATGAAATGAGAGGCAGTTAGCTGAATCAATGTTTTATAAATAAAGATGTGTTTTTATGTAAAAACAGTTTTTAAATGAAGTGAAATATTTAGTAAAGCACATATAAACCTGCCACTGTTTGAACTCCATCATGGTTTCAGTTGTAGCTGATGAACGGAGCAGAGAGAGTTCGGCTCGTTGTGATTTGGGTTTGAAGTGGGCTCTCCTGGTCCACCCACAGAACCGACCCACAGAACCCCGGCTCCCCCTCCAGCTGATTGGACCTGCAGTCACATGTCGCTCTCACCCTGTTAGTCCTGTCGCAGCTCTTTGCTCTGCAGATCATTCCTGCTCAGCGCGGGGAGGTTTGGTGACATTTGATTTAATGAGCTCCTCGCTCGGCTCGGACCTGAGCTCGGCTCTAATCAGCCGGGACAGGTGGAGCACCTGTGGGGGTTTGTGTTAACGAGCGAGGCGCTCTGTTCTCCTGTCACATTTAATGCTCTGTTCGCTGCCGCTGCCTCCATCTCTTCATCACCGTCAGAGAAACGTCCGGACCGACAAACACGACACGTTTTATTTATTTTAGTTTGACGTGGCCCCACACCTGGCCATAAGCTGTTGCTTAGTAACACCTTTCACCTGGCAGTGATTAATGCCCCGACCAGCAGAGGGCGCTGTTCAAACCAGAACAAATAACATCTGGATTTTAGTGATGGAGATGATGATGATGATGGTTCAGAGAAGCCATCGTGACACTTGGACCCTCCTCTTCCTCCCCGCAGGTGGACCGGGTGTCCGTCACGGCCGAGAGCGGCGCCGGCYGCCGCCCCGCCAACAGGCCTGGGGGCGGAGTCATGCGCATCCACCGCCACTTCCCGTACCCGGCCAACCAGATGTACGTGGTGGTCCTGCACCGGGAGCTGAAGCCCATGAGGGTGTACCGCCTGAACGTCAGCTTCGACGCCGCCATCGAGGACGAGCTGCTGGGCTTCTTCAGGAGCTCCTACACACTGCACCGAGAGAGACGGTACACACACACACACACACACACACACACACACACACACACACACACACACACACACACACACAGAGTTGTTTTTCAAGCAGCAGCAGGTGGTTCAACTAGAAAAGGTCAGAGCTTCACATCCATGACATTGATTAACTCACACACACACACACACACACACACACACACACTGTCTGTATAATGTGTGTGTGAGACTTGGTGTGTGTTCTAGCAGTCACCACACACACACACACACACACACACACACACACCTCTTATAATCCTGCCGTCAGCCTCTGAGCTGTTTCCACATCAGGTCTCGTCCACTCACTGCCTTCATTACTTCCTGCTCCCGTTGTCGCGGCGACGGACGSTTTTATCAGCGTCGGCTCCACTTGTTGCCAAAACACACAGTCAGACCTAATGAGTGTAATGAGAAAAGCTCACTGCGAGTCCGTCATGAGGTTCTGATCAGATCCTAACACGATTTTATTCTCCTGTCAGGTTGCATCACATCAGTAAACTGTTATTATTTCAATTCAATTCAAAACATTTATTCATCCATCCATCCATCCATCCATCCATCCATCCATC